TAGAGCAGACCAGCACAGAGGGCAGAGCAGCACAGTACAGAAGGCAGAGTAGACAGTACAGAAGACACAGCAGGACAGTACAATCGATAGAGCAGACAGTATAGAGGACACAGCAGGACAGCACAAAGGCAGAGTAGACAGTACAGAGGACACTACATAACAGTACAGTAGGTGGAGCAGAAAGTACAGGGGACACAGTAGGACAGTACAATTGATGGAGCAGACAGTACAAGAGACACAGCAGGACAGCACAGAGGGCAGAGCAAACAGTAAAAGGGGCACAATAGTAAGCAGGAGTAAAAGTGAGAGCTAAAAATGAGCTGCTGTACACCGAAAGGCACCAATAACCTCCTCCAATAACCTCCATTTTGTGCTGTGTACTACTCAGCCCTCTGTGCTGTTCTGCTTTGTCCTCAATACTGTCTACTTTGCCTTCTGTGCTTTCCTGCTCTGCTACCTGTGCTAACCTGCTGCGTCCCTTGTACTGATAATAATAACAAAGGTGCAGAGCTAAAACCTCAATAAATAATGTATGATAATATAAAGTGCAAATGCTTATAACCTGGGAAATTGCTCTGTCATACAAGGTATGTCAAAAAAATATATAACAGTAATGCACATATACAGTATTCCCGATTGCAGGAGAAATGCATAAATAAATAAATGAAGTGACATTAGTGCAAACGTACATCCACAATAGTGACTGTTGGTGCTAAAGTGACAAAGTCTATATAGAAAATTCATAGGAAGTGAAGCTTCAAATCAAGTGATCCACTGTGCGTCTTCTGGTGATGAAATAATATAATTACACACTAACCAGATACATAATTCCATCATGCATTTGAGATAATACAACATCTCATTGGTTCAGTAGGATCCTCTTATGGGCACATCTATCCCTTCTGGGCTTCCATCTGGATCATCAGATTGGATACAGCACCTCTCAACTCTGGGATACAGCACTTTCCCTGTGGGCTCTGTGGGTGGTGGACTCAACAAGAGTCCCAAGAAAGGATGCCAAAATGGTGTAATATCGTTTCAAAAGGGGTCCTGCATGTGTCTCGGCGGAGTGATGTCTGGACGCTGCAGCTCTTCCCTTACGTGTTTCGTGCTAAAGCATGTATTCATAGGGAGTGTGCGTGCGAGTGTCAGACGTCTGGTGTGTTCAATTTACAGCCTGCAAATGGCGCGCGTGTTATCGCATCCGCCATCTTGCGGGCTAATTTGCGCATGCGCGGTGTGACCTGCGCCATAATGTCCGCTGTCTCGCGCGTGCGCGCCGTTAATCGGCGCCATTTTGTTGTAGTCACAGCCATCTCATGTAGCGATCCCAGATGCGCACGCATATGGGAGTTCTGGCTATGGATGACACTATATGCATTAGCCTATGATCATCAGGGAATTATGAATCAAATTTATTATTGTATATAGATATTTCTATGTATGAGCAACCTGAATTGCCAAACAAAAAGGGGGTGATACTATATATACCAGTGATGGCGAACCTTTTTGAGCCCGAGTGCCCAAACTGCAACCCAAAACCAACTTATTTCTTTCAAAGTGCCAACACTGCAATGAAAGCTGAATATCGAGCTTTTGGTTTAGAAAAAACAACTCGTACAGTAGTGCAAACTAATTAACAGTACAGGGATGACCAGAGACTGCGGACACAGTACAGGGATGACCAGAGACTGCGGACACAGTACAAGGATGACCAGAGACTGCGGACACAGTACAGGGATGACCAGAGACTGCGGACACAGTACAGGGATGACCAGAGACTGCGGACACAGTACAGGGATGACCAGAGACTGCGGACAGTACAGGGGATGACCAGAGACTGCGGACACAGTACAGGGATGACCAGAGACTGCGGACACAGTACAAGGATGACGAGAGACTGCGGACACAGTACAGGGATGACCGGAGACTGCGGACACAGTACAGGAGATGACCAGAGACTGCGGACAGTACAGGGACGACCAGAGACTGCGGACAGTAAAGGGACGACCAGAGACTGCTGACACAGTACAGGGATGACCAGAGACTGCAGACACAGTACAGGGATGACCAGAGACTGCGGACAGTACAGGGATGACCAGAGACTGCGGACACAGTACAGGGATGACCAGAGACTGCGGACACAGTACAGGAGATGACCAGAGACTGCGGACAGTACAGGGATGACCAGAGACTGCGGACACAGTACAGGAGATGACCAGAGACTGCGGACACAGTACAGGGATGACCAGAGACTGCGGACAGTACAGGGATGACAGAGACTGCGGACACAGTACAGGAGATGACCAGAGACTGCGGACAGTACAGGGATGACCAGAGACTGCGGACACAGTACAGGAGATGACCAGAGACTGCGGACACAGTACAAGGATGACCAGAGACTGCGGACAGTACAGGGATGACCAGAGACTGCGGACACAGTACAGGGATGACCAGAGACTGCGGACACAGTACAAGGATGACCAGAGACTGCGGACACAGTACAGGGATGACCAGAGACTGCGGACACAGTACAGGGATGACCAGAGACTGCGGACACAGTACAGGGATGACCAGAGACTGCGGACAGTACAGGGATGACCAGAGACTGCGGACACAGTACAGGGATGACCAGAGACTGCGGACACAGTACAAGGATGACGAGAGACTGCGGACACAGTACAGGGATGACCGAGACTGCGGACACAGTACAGGAGATGACCAGAGACTGCGGACAGTACAGGGACGACCAGAGACTGCGGACAGTAAAGGGACGACCAGAGACTGCTGACACAGTACAGGGATGACCAGAGACTGCAGACACAGTACAGGGATGACCAGAGACTGCGGACAGTACAGGGATGACCAGAGACTGCGGACACAGTACAGGGATGACCAGAGACTGCGGACACAGTACAGGAGATGACCAGAGACTGCGGACAGTACAGGGATGACCAGAGACTGCGGACACAGTACAGGAGATGACCAGAGACTGCGGACACAGTACAGGGATGACCAGAGACTGCGGACAGTACAGGGATGACCAGAGACTGCGGACACAGTACAGGAGATGACCAGAGACTGCGGACAGTACAGGGATGACCAGAGACTGCGGACACAGTACAGGAGATGACCAGAGACTGCGGACACAGTACAAGGATGACCAGAGACTGCGGACAGTACAGGGATGACCAGAGACTGCGGACACAGTACAGGAGATGACCAGAGACTGCGGACACAGTACAGGGATGACCAGAGACTGCGGACAGTACAGGGATGACCAGAGACTGCGGACACAGTACAGGAGATGACCAGAGACTGCGGACAGTACAGGGATGACCAGAGACTGCGGACACAGTACAGGAGATGACCAGAGACTGCGGACACAGTACAGGGATGACCAGAGACTGCGGACACAGTACAGGAGATGACCAGAGACTGCGGACACAGTACAGGAGATGACCAGAGACTGCGGACACAGTACAGGAGATGACCAGAGACTGCGGACACAGTACAGGAGATGACCAGAAACTGCGACACAGTACAGGAGATGACCAGAGACTGCGGACAGTACAGGGATGACCAGAGACTGCGGACAGTACAGGGATGACCAGAGACTGCGGACACAGTACAGGAGATGACCAGAGACTGCGGACACAGTACAGGGATGACCAGAGACTGCAGACACAGTACAGGGATGACCAGAGACTGCGGACAGTACAGGGATGACCAGAGACTGCGGACACAGTACAGGGATGACCAGAGACTGCAGACACAGTACAGGGATGACCAGAGACTGCAACACAGTACAGGGATGACCAGAGACTGCAGACACAGTACAGGGATGACCAGAGACTGCGGACAGTACAGGGATGACCAGAGACTGCGGACAGTACAGGGATGACCAGAGACTGCGGACAGTACAGGGATGACCAGAGACTGCGGACACAGTACAGGGATGACCAGAGACTGCGGACACAGTACAGGAGATGACCAGAGACTGCGGACAGTACAGGAGATGACCAGAGACTGCGGACACAGTACAGGGATGACCAGAGACTGCGGACACAGTACAGGGATGACCAGAGACTGCGGACAGTACAGGAGATGACCAGAGACTGCGGACACAGTACAGGAGATGACCAGAGACTGCGGACACAGTACAGGAGATGACCAGAGACTGCGGACACAGTACAGGGAGATGACCAGAGACTGCGGACACAGTACAGGAGATGACCAGAGACTGCGAACAGTACAGGAGATGACCAGAGACTGCGGACAGTACAGGGATGACCAGAGACTGCGGACAGTACAGGGATGACCAGAGACTGCGGACACAGTACAGGGATGACCAGAGACTGCGGACACAGTACAGGGATGACCAGAGACTGCGGACAGTACAGGGATGACCAGAGACTGCGGACACAGTACAGGAATGACCAGAGACTGCGGACACAGTACAGGGATGACCAGAGACTGCAGACACAGTACAGGGATGACCAGAGACTGCGGACAGTACAGGGATGACCAGAGACTGCGGACACAGTACAGGGATGACCAGAGACTGCGGACACAGTACAGGAGATGACCAGAGACTGCGGACAGTACAGGATGACCAGAGACTGCGGACACAGTACAGGAGATGACCAGAGACTGCGGACACAGTACAGAGATGACCAGAGACTGCGGACACAGTACAGGGATGACCAGAGACTGCGGACAGTACAGGAGATGACCAGAGACTGCGGACAGTACAGGGATGACCAGAGACTGCGGACACAGTACAGGAGATGACCAGAGACTGCGGACACAGTACAGGAGATACCAGAGACTGCGGACACAGTACAGGAGATGACCAGAGACTGCGAACAGTACAGGAGATGACCAGAAACTGCGGACAGTACAGGAGATGACCAGAGACTGCGGACAGTACAGGGATGACCAGAGACTGCGGACACAGTACAGGGATGACCAGAGACTGCGGACAGTACAGGGATGACCAGAGACTGCGGACACAGTACAGGAGATGACCAGAGACTGCGGACACAGTACAGGGATGACCAGTGACTGCGGACAGTACAGGGATGACCAGAGACTGCGGACAAGTACAGGAGATGACCAGAGACTGCGGACAGTACAGGGATGACCAGAGACTGCGGACATAGTACAGTAATGACCAGTGACTGCGGACAGTACAGGGATGACCAGAGACTGCGGACAGTACAGGGATGACCAGAGACTGCGGACACAGTACAGGGATGACCAGAGACTGCGGACAGTACAGGGATGACCAGAGACTGCGGACACAGTACAGGAGATGACCAGAGACTGCGGACACAGTACAGGGATGACCAGTGACTGTGGACAGTACAGGGATGACCAGAGACTGCGGAAAGTACAGGGATGACGAGAGACTGCGGACATAGTACAGTAATGACCAGAGACTGCGGACACAGTACAGGGATGACCAGAGACTGCGGACATAGTACAGGGATGACCAGAGACTGCGGACACAGTACAGGGATGATGACCAGAGACTGCGGACAGTACAGGGATGACCAGAGACTGCGGACACAGTACAGCTAGAACAGGGAGAACCATCATTTTTTTGCTAATAAAGATTAATATAATAAATTATATATAAAATAAATTAATATAAAGGGATAAAAACATTAAATTAAATTCATAAGTCCAGTGACAAAAAAAAAGTCAAGTGATAAAAAATTGAAAAAGTCCCAAAAAAATATATATATATTTAACAGTCCCCGTGACAAAAATAAATCAATTTATAATTATCATTGGATTCTTCCGTGTTACTGATACCCTTCACCATCCACCAGTGCAGAAATCAACATTAACCGCACTCACCAGATATTAGTAAGGGACACACTGCACCAACCTTTCAGGAATATTAAGGGCTCCTGGACCCCCTTTACTTTTGTGAGATCTCCAAATGCTGTTTCCTCTTATATTTGGGTACCTCTTCTGCTTACTCCTCTCACCGGAATCCCCAAAATGACCGTGAATCAACAGTACACAGAAAAAAGAAAAGACCATAGCGTGATGACCGTAGTAATCTCTCCTCCAAATAATCTCACCAGACCACTCACATTCTTTTGCGGGATATAGAGCCCGCCTTTTATTCAAAACAACAATGATTTTTCTTCCAAAATGATCCACTTTTCACACAGTACACCGACTTGACTTTAACTGCGGAGACCCCACAGTCTGTGTGTGAGCCCAGGATGGCAGACCTCAGCTACAGACTCATCAGTACAGGCTACCAGAGACTGGACCAGTTACAGGGATAAAACCCCTTGGAACTGCACACACGCACACATCGGGATGACATCGAGACTGCGGAACAGTGCAGCTGACCACCTCACTGCGGACAGTACAAGATGACCAGAGGAGACTGACAGTACAGGGAAAACCAGGACAACCGGACCAGTGAACTCAACGCGAACTGCCAGTAAACCACAATGTTCCAGGACTGCACTCCCCCCACAGTTTAGGCAGGATCACTTAGACTCAAAACCAGTACAGGAATGACCATTATTCTCACTGCCAACAGTACCGGAGATACAAGAAACTTCCCCCACATCACCATCCAAACCCACTCACATCAGTACAAAACATCACACCCCATTACATTCAGACACCAAAAATCACTTCTGATGACCAGAGACTCCATTTATCAACCCAGGAGATGACCCCTTCTGAGACTGACCCACATTAGTAAAATGACCAAAAACCCCGGAACATCCCCCCCTTTTCTTCAACCCTCCACAAGACTGCTGAATACCAGTCTCCATGACCCCCACTGCGGGGACACAAGGATGACCTTCACAGTACACTCCACCATGACTCTTAAACTGCGGACATTCAAATACAGGAATGACCAGTGACTACTCACAATTCTGTTCAAACAGTGACTTGCAAACAACCCACCCCATACCTCCAAGACCCCCATGGACCCCACCCAAACCCCTTTGAAGAGCACAATTATTACAGCTTAAGGGGATCCCCAAGACCCTTTAACCATAAAACCACCAAAAGAAAACAAACCTGCGACAACAGGCATGAACCATTCACCACCATAAAAAAATCATAAGACTGCGGACCCAGTACAACAAAAAACCATTACAAAAATACTTAATTAAAAAATAACCAAAAATTAAAAAACCTAAACCCCCCCCCTACAACAAAAAAACAGATAATGACCAAAAAAATGAAAATTAAAAATAAAAATAAAAATAATATAAACAAACAAATAAAAACCAGTGTCAAATCCCAATAATATTCAAATAAAATAAAAAAACCATATAAAAATAAAGAAATATAATAAATTTATAAAAAAATAAATATAAAAATAAAAATAAATAAATAAAAAATAAAAATAAAAAAAATCAAGTCAAAAATCAAAATAAAAATAAATCCCAAATAAAAAAAAAAAAAAAACTAAAATAAAAAAAGGTTGATAAAAAAAAATAAAAATCCAAAAGATAAAAATAAAAAAATAAAAAAGTAAAAAAAAAAAATATAAAAAACTCCAATATTATAAAAAAAATTTCAAATAAAAGAAATAACCTGACCCCCAAAACGCGCTTTCACCCCCTGATATAGCAACGCATATAAAACAATTCTTCCACAGGATCCAATTTTAACCTATAAAATCCTACAAAAAAATAAATTAAAATAAGGAAAAATATAAAGAAGTCATAGCAGCTAAAAAATCAATCTCTCCTAAAAAACCTCCTAAAAAAACATTCTAATTCAATAGATAAAATCCCCCTTTATTCGTTGAACCCCCCCTCTTCAAAATGATCACCTTTTCACCCTCAACCAACCACTAAGATACCCCAACATTCTTTAGTGTTTAAAGCACCGGCAGTTTTTTTTCTCCCGCTAATCTAATCTGGCCAAAACCCCTGGAACAAAAACTCATCATACCATCTGAAACCCACAATTCACCAACAAAAAATCATTAAAACTTTCACCCCACCCACATTTATCAATCGCAATTCCAGTCGGGTTGTCCATCCCACTCTTTAATCTGGATACAAAAAACACAATGTCCAACCGCAATTTTACACACCCCCTGTTGGGGGTCCCTTTAAACAAGGTTAAACCATTTTTCCCTAATAAATTACATCTAATTAAAACATTAAAATTTTAATCCTAAGTCTTCACCCAACACAAATAAAACTATTAATCCATTTTTGAAATATTAAAATAAACCATAAAAATTCATACTAAAGGGTTCTAATAAAACAACAGCCTTAAAACTACCAAATATAAATCCCCACCTAAAAATAAAATATAACCTGTGTATCCACCAAATCCTTCAACCCCCATAAATATAAACCCAAATAAAAATTACAATTTTTAAGATAAAAATAAACAATACGTTAAATCATAAATTAACCGGTGTCAAAGAATTTACCCCTATAATAAATTGTATAAAAATATTCATCCAAAAAAATTCCATTTTTTTATTAACCCCAAAACAATAACCTAACCCCCTTTATTTTCCACCAAATATTAAAAATTAGAATAAATAAATGAATATCTCATGATACCATCATGAACACGCACTCGGACTTATTGGATATTACCAATTCCAAAAAGCAATTTATATCTTATTTTACATTCAAACCCATTAGGATACATGTTCCTAAAATCCACTATTTCATTTTGGGACTCCCCATTTACCTCCTCTCCAAGGGGCTTCTACTCTATCTTTCCACAAAATTTCAACGATGCCGGATCTCTGTTATGATACCTTCTAAAATGATATGATAAAACTATGATGTTTGAATCCCTTCTTTTATGTTCCAATATGTTCTCCCATTCTGGTGGCAAGTTTCCTAGTTGTTCTCCCTATATCTGGAGATTTACAAGAGCACTCCAGCAGATAGGTAACATGCGTACTATCACATGATATAAATTTATTAATCTTATGGGATCCTCCATTATAACAGGATTGAAAATCCTTGTATTGCTTCTTTCTATCCCCTTTCAGGGTTCTACAAGCCAAACACCTCCCACACTTGAAAAAACCAGCCCTATCCAAAAAAGTAACCAATTTCTTAGGTACATCTGGAACATTTTTAACAAGCCTAGACCTTAAAGTAGATGGTTTTCTATATATAAACAGGGGTTTACTAGGTAACACTTTCCCAAGGGTTTCATCCCTCATTAAAATTGACCAATATTTTTTAATAATGTTTTCAACTAATTTGTAATGCTTAGAATATCCTGTGATGAAAGCCACATCTCCCAACTTCTTTTTACTTTCTTTTTTCTTTAGAAGTTCATCTCTACTGATCTTTCTAACCTGTTCCAATGAAACCGCCAGATTTTCTTCTCCATAGCCTTTCTCCCTAAACCTTTGCAACAACACCTCAGACTGTTCCAAAAAAACACCTTCATCATCACAATTACGTTTGATCCTAATAAGCTGACTCTTAGGGATGGATTTTAGCCAATTTTTATGGTGGCAACTAAAACTTGGGATATATCCATTCCTATCTACTTGCTTGAAATATATCTTGGTATAAAAACCTGTCATCTTTTTCTTGTAAATTGTCAGATCCAAAAATCCACTCCCTCCTCACTAATATTTTTAGTAAATGATATGTTAAAAGAATTAATCCCCATTTCTTGGATAAACTCCTCCAGTGTCTCTCTTGTACCTTTCCAAATTATAATAATGTCATCGATAAATCTTCTATACACTAGCAACTCTGTAGTTCTTTTCTTGAAAATGGCTTCACTTTCCCACCTACTCATGAACAAGTTTGCCACCGATGGTGCATACTTGGCCCCCATGGCCACACCCCTTGCTTGCCTATAATATTTCCCAGAGTACCAAAAGTAATTATGTGACATAGCTAAATTTAAACTATTAAGTAAAAATTCAGTTTGCTGTGATTTTAAACCTGCTTTTGCCTCCAAGGCCCATTTAACTGCTCCCAATGCATCCGCATGCCTTATATTAGTGTACAGGGAATTGACATCCACACTAGCCATCACACATCTCCCTCTTCCCTAATTCCCCTAATCAGATTAATCAAATCACCACTATCCCTCAGGTACGCTGGAAACATGGGAACTAGAGGTTGCAGAAACTTATCCACATATTCACCCAATCTACAGAACAATGAATCTATCCCACTAATAATGGGTCTCCCGGGAGGTTTTTTAAGATCTTTGTGGATTTTTGGTAATTGGTAGATCACAGGTGTTATTGGAGCAGAAGGTACCAGATATTTAATCTCTTTTTTGTTAAGTATTCCTCTTTTACCCCCTTCTTTAACATGTTTTACTAACAGATTCTTATATTTAATAATGGGGTTACCCCTTAACAACTCATATGTTTCAACATCATCTACCAATCTACTTAGTTCTGTATAATAATCTACCTTGTTTAGTACCACCAGGCCACCACCCTTGTCGGCTGGCCTTATAACAATATTTTTATTTTCCTCCAGTCTTTTTATACCAGTTTCTAAATCATGTTTCTTCCTCATAAAGGG